CGAATTGAGCAATTAAGACAGCAAGGATAACTGCACGGCATCACCCTTCGTGCTTTTACTCTCAACCTTACCAAGTAACAAATAAAACTGCACGGCATAACCCTTCGCGCTTTTACTCTCTTCCTCACAATATAAATAATTCATGCACGGCATCACCCTTCGTGCTTTACACTCTTCCTCACAATATAAATAAATCATGCACGGCATCACCCTTCGTGCTTTACACTCTTCCTCGCAATTCACAGAATCAATAACAACGGATAGAGAGAAGTTTCACAAGAAATCAATATNCAAAATCAATATTTCATCAATGATTACTTTCACAATTTAACATCTTAACCTCGAATCAATATTCACAATTTTATCGACCTTGGTGGAACCGGATACAAGTCTCCCAATATTTCAACAACAACAATAAGCATGGATAACAAGATTTAAGACTACAAATTTGCAAGAAATGGAATTTCACTCGCATGCTATGACTCGACCACAACGTATAGATGCTCGTCACCTCAACTATACATCGTATTCAATAACAAAACATATAGCAAATACTCACACAATACCTATTCCCTCAAGCCAAAGTTAGACACAACACTTATCTCGCTCCGAAGGCCACTTAATTCTCAATCACAATTTTTCCTTTGAAATTCACCTCTAAACCACTCGTATCTATTCTAAAATGACTCAATAATATCAAATATTACTAAAGGAATCAATTATATTTCATAAATTAAATTTTCAAAATTTTCCTCCAAAAAGTCAAAAAAATCGACTCCGGGCCCGCTTGGTCAAAACCCGAGATTTGGACCAAAATCTTTTTACCCATTCACCCCCGAATCCGAATATGTAATTAGTTTTGGAATCTGACCTCAAATCGAGGTCTAAATCCCCAAATTCCCGAACTACCTAGTTTCTACCCTAACCCCTAATTCTACCATGAAAACTCTAGATTTTAGGTTGAATTCTAGTAAAATAAAGTGAAAGATTGAAAGAAACGAGTTAAGGAACACTTACCTATGATTTGGGGAAGAAAATGTCTTTGAAAAATCGCCCTAGGCCTCCTATCCTTTTGAAAACGAGAAGAAAAATAGCTGGAGTCCGAATTAAATGAACTCACTGCCCAGCGACCTTCGCACCTGCGGTGCTTTGGTCGCACCTGCGCATCCGCACGTGCGGACGGGATGTGCGCTTCTGCGGAAAAGAACTGGGCCAACTGGGGTCGCATCTGCGGACAGGGTTCCGCTTCTGCAGTCCCGCTCCTGCGGAGAAAAATCTGCATCTGAGGAAAAATGAAGTCCAGGCCTGGGTCGCATCTGCGGGGCTATCGCTCGCACCTGCGACCACAGGCTCGCAGGTGCGGGCACACCAGATTTGGTGCACCAGCAGCCTTGTTGAGGTTTGAACTCAACTTGTGCATCGCCCGGATGGCACCCGAGCCCTTGGGGCTCCAAACCAAATATGCACGCAGGTCTAAAAATATCATACGGACTTGCTCGCGCGATCAAATCGCCAAAATAACACCTAGAACTCTAAATTTAGCACTAAATCAAATGAAATTCTCAAGAACACTTTAAAATTTCTATTTTCTCAACTGGACGTCTGAATCACGTCAAATCAACTCCGTTTCTCACCAAATTTCACAGACATATCTTAAATATCATAATGAACCTGTACCGGGCTCCGGAACCAAAATACGGACCCGATACTAACAATGCCAAATATCAATCAATTCTTAAAAATAAATAATTTTCAAACTTTTAATTTTCATCAAAAATTCCTAACTCAAGTTAGGAACCTCCGAATTCGATTCCGAGTATACGCCCAGGTCACATAATTCAATACGAACCTACCAGGACCGTCAAAGTACGGATCTGGGCCCGTTTACCAAAAATGTTGACCGAAGTCAACTAAAATCAACTTTTAAGGCAAAAATTCTTATTTTCATTAGTTTTCAACATAAAAGCTTTTCGGAAACCTGTCCGGACTCGGCACGTAAATCGAGGAGGGTAAAAATGAGATTTTTTAAGGCTTAAGAGCACAAATTCGAGTTCTAAAATATAAGATGACTTTTTAAGTCATCACACTACTGCAGCAATGAAGTAGAAAGAGTTGCATACAAACAGGGAACCAACAAGTTCCTACCTACTTTAAATTCAACAGTGTACCATATCATTACAAGAAAAAAAAAAGGCAACCCGGTGTATTAAGTTCTCGCTATGCGCGGGATCCGGGGAAGGGCCGGATCACAAGGGTCTATCGTACGCAGCCTTACACTGTATTTTTGCAAGAGGCTATTTTCACATCTCGAACCCGTAACCTCCCGGTCACATGGAGATAACTTTACCGGTTACGCCAAGACTCCCTTGCTGAAATAAAGGTCCAAGTCAATTCTCTGTCATATAGGCATATTTGCATCTTAATCAATAAAGAGACCTATCATTACTCATCACAAGAAACTTCTAAACTAATTCAGCTGTTTAGACTAACTCAAAAACAAAACCAAAAAGCTACACATATTGCAAGTCAATAATGAAAATAAAGATTCATGTCAATTCTCTACCATTTCAATCATATTTGCATTAGACTTTTAGCATCAGTATCCACCTATTCAAAAAGGTGCCAATTTTGGTAACATTAAATTGTATCCCCCAACCCCCCAACAACAAAAGTATTAGAAACATATTAACAGAGGAAAACAACTTCCTTAATCACTTATAAAAAGTCTCAATATCTCCAATTCCCACATCAAAATCTTCTTGCAAACCAACATAGATATTATCATCATCTCCCACAAAAAACTCAACATTACTCTCATTAGTCTTAATCTTTTCTCCCCCATCACCAAACTCAAAATCACCATTTTCATCATTTCCTTCAGAATAAACAACCTCACTCATATTAACTCTATTCCCTTTTCCTAATACCTTCTTTAAACTCTGTGCCATCATTTTTATCCTCTTCTTCCTAGTACCATTACTTTTCACAAATGTCTTTTCAACCCCTAAAGTTTCATCTTTTATACCATTTTCATCCCCCTCTGCTGCCACGTCATCATCATCACCATCAGAAATTTCAATACTCATCCACATCAAATTCATCCTCCTCTGCCACGTCATCATTCTGTTTCACAAAAGGTGACCACAAAGACTTTCCTCCTCCTTCTAAACCCAAAACAGAGAACCCATAACAATAATACTCACCCTTCTCCGCCACGTCAGCCGGCGGAGATGGACCCACAATAGGCAGCGCGTGAAACCCACGTTTACACTTGTCATTCTGACACCTCAGCAAACAATCCTCATAAACCTTAAAAAACTCATACACATAGTAACAGTACGGACACACAGTCCAAAAAGTCCCGCGTTTTTTCAACCCATTATCAAAACGGGTCTTATGAATCGGGTTAGAAAGCACAGACCAAGCTTTAAGTATAACCTGAAAAGCCTCGGACGCGAAAGGATACTGATTTCTACTAGGGTTTAAGAGATTAGTAATATTCGTGAAGTTAGTTTTGATCAGTTGTTGATCTTGGGTATAAAGAGGAAGGTCAAGGACAGAATAGTAATTTGGGTCTTCGGCAATGGAGGAAAAAGAGAGGACTTTAGCTATGGCGAGGATTTGTGAAGAGGAAGGGTTATTTGGGTCATTTTGAAGGGATTTAAGAGCGTATTTAATGGAGTCTTGGAAATTTCGGTGTTGAAGAAATGATTTAGAGGCAGTGAGATAAGTTTGGGCTTTTGAATAATGGGAGCTGCTGCCGTTTTGCTCCATATTTTTTTGGTTGCAGAGATAATAAAGAAGAAGGTGAAGGGGAGGGAGCTTAAGGGTTATTTTTTGAAGAGGTGAAATTTTGGATGTTTTCGGAAGAAAAAATAAAATGACGATTTTGGACATGGAGATTTTGGAAAAGGGTTTATTCATAAGCTTATTTTTTCAATAAATTGCGGTTAAATTAGTGATTAGTGTAAAAGTAGTTAAACTATACATAATTCTTTTAACATGTAATTTATATTATATGTCAGTTAGAATAATAAATTTTTTACATTATTAGGTCATCTCAAGGATATGTACGTGTAAGCCTTAAAATGTTAAAATACACAAATTCTCTTACTTACTATAGTACAAATTTTTGACATTATAGCTAGGTATATAAAACTTAAAATGTTTCAACATTGTAAGATGGACAAATCTTTGACATTATAATTGGAAAAGAGTTTATTTAGATACATGATTATTTTTGGGACTCGGGGCATTATCAGAGGCGGACCTACATTGCATGTAGAGGGGTCACGGGACCCCGTTAGTCTCGGCAAAAACTTTGTATATATATATTATATATATCTGTACATATATATATATATATATGACCCCTTAAATATTTTAGTTGTGCCCCCAAAAACAAAAAGACAGACGGAGGAAGTGGTTATGTTGGGCGCTTCAATTCTCTAATTTACTAAATGATCCAGGTTCCAATCTGTCTTCAACCCTTTTAGTTAATCGAATACAAGTACTTTCTTTATACTTAATAACAAATTGTTTTATGTTTTTCTTTATTCTTTTTCTTTTAATTCAATTATGGTTTAGTTCTAACTTTATAATACATAACAATCAACTTAATTAAAAAAAAAATCAAATTCATCCCTTAAAATTAAAGTAAAAAGTTTCAAATTGCAATTTATCACTCCACAAATAGAAAAATACAAATCCTTATTCCACAACCTTCTTCATCATTCACTTTGACTCCGACTCGGCAGTGAAATTTAAGAGTTTAAGACTCTTCTTTAGTTTTTTTTTCTTTATACTTAATAACAAATTATTTTATGTTTTTCTTTATTATTTTTCTTTTAATTCAATTATGGTTTAGTTCTAACTTTATAATACATAACAGCCAACTTCATTTTTAAAAAAATCAAATTAATCCCTTAAAATTAAAGTAAAAAGCTTCAAATTGTAATTTATCACTCCACAAATAAAAAAATACAAATCCTTATTCCACAACCTTCTTCATCAATCACTTTGACTCCGACTCGGCAGTGGAATTTAAGAGTTTAAGACTTTTCTTTGGTTTTTTTTACTATTAACATACCCTTAATCTTGGTTTCTTTAATTTTTGAACGCCCTTTTGATCACCGACCCTTTATTTTATTTTTAAAAAAAAACTAAAAAATTTAAAGTGCGAAACATGCTTAATCAAACACTTTTCCTTCCCATAGCACCCATTTTGAGAAAAATTCTCTCTTTGTTCGGTGTTTTCTTTTCTTTAGAACTTCTTTTTATTTATACTTGGATGATAAGTCATTATAATCATTAAGTTTTCAAAGAGTTGCACGCCGAATTTTATCGCTAGTGATTAGCGCACAGTAGTGCCTCCGTCGTCCTCAAATCCTGGGTCCGCCTCTAGGCATTATTATAGTTCTTTTTTTCTCTCTCTCAAAAAGAATGGGTTTTGAAGTATGAGAGTTAATCCATTTAATGTTTCATTTTTAAATGAGATTGTATAAATAATTCAATTCGTAAATTTATAGTAGGGAAGTTCTTCTAAAAATTTCTGCTATAGAAACTAGGGAAGTTCACGTAATTCATTCAAAAAATGACATAATGGTACATAAACTCAAATGAATATGTATTCTTGAAGTAATATAATGGAAATGATTTAACAATTTACTTAAGTGGTGTAACCATAATTAACGTAAAAGCGAACCAATCTAAAATTAATAACTATGAGGGTAAACTTGGTAACTCACGAAAGTGTCAGTATGTCTGTCAAATGCTTTCTTGGGCAGCAATTGACCAAAAATTAATCCAATTAGCAGATAGATATATAATATATGTAATTTATATATAATACGTGTATAATGTCATGGGCGGCTTTCCAACCATGCCCCATGACCCCTTGGACGCGCCCCGTGGCGTTCTGGCCAGTCTCCCAACGCCCGTCGCCACGGTCGGCCCCGTGGTCTCGGCAGCTCCAAGTGAC